CAACCATGCCTGGCAATCATACAGAACCTCGAAACCTCACACACAGAAGAAGAAAAATAAATCAACAATCAAAATACTGTAAGAGCTAAAGATACAACCGTGAGTTCAAGCGCAACCTCAGTCTCCTTTATTGCACCTTAAATGGCTAGGGTAAGCGCAAAAAAGGTTGAGAGAGAATTTAATTACCATGCCGAGTAGAATATGCGCTCATTGGTGTCCTATGCCCAGGGGGAAACTGGTATGAAGCACCACCCACTGTTATAACTATCGGTAACTCCACACCAATACTCGTGCCTTTAAGCAAATACAACGGGAGGCTAACACCAGGAGATTAACGACCACTTCCATAAACCATGGCTGGGAGAGAGGGCCCACGGCCCCCACTGCCACATTTTCTTTCTTTTTTTTTTTTTTTTGAAATACGGAGTTTCTGCTCTGTCACCCAGGCTGGAGTGTATGGCAGTGACCTTGGCCTCACTGCAACTCCCACCTCCCAGGTTTCAAAGCAATTGCGAGCTGTCTCCACTTCTCCTCAATGCTAGCACGCCAGTCCTGCAATCTACCCGCACAAGGCAACCGCAGCCGATGAGAGCCTGTGAGGCAGGCGCAGCGACGCCATAAGCCATTCATGAGCTTACCATATGCCGTAAACGACACACCACCATCGGGGCGAATATGTGGAATGGTTGTGTGTGCGCTCAAGACAGCAGAGACTGCCGGAAGTGTCAAAGCTGGCCACGGCGCTTGCTTACACGTCTCAGGTAACTCCGTATGAGCCTCGGCAATCCACTCCTGTCTCGGTGAGCGCGACATCCGGTTCTAAAAGCTGAGATAAACAGCCAATAGACTACACCAACAAAAACACACAAAAGCGATCGCCAGATAGGCTCCATAGCATGTAATGCAAACAAACTCTGTCTGACAGCTTTGAAGAGAGCGATGGTTACCTCTCCCATACACCGCAGTCAAATGATCTGAGACAGACAGGACTGCTCATGATAATAGTGTAGGACGTCCTGAGCTCCGACACTGTAACCCTGATACCTACTGGGAGATCAGCTCGCGACTATGTGAGACTAGTGGCGTGCAATAAACATGGGAGTTACAGACATCCCCGAACACCCATGAACCATCTGATTCAGGTTCCTTAGGATAGATACCCAGAAGTGGGATGGATATCTCCTGGGTGTAAATGGTAAGGTTCCTATGTTTTAGCTTTTGCCTGAGGAACATACCGTGTAGAGTATACCCCCATTTTTCATGGATTGAAACGATAAGAGAGCTAAAACTTTCCTAACACGAACAAAGAGATCCAGCAACACGTACACATCCCGCCTATTCAGCAGTAATTCTATTCTTCGCAGCTCACTGCTGAACACCCACGGCAAACAGGGTCTGGAGGTGGGGGACCCAAGCAATCTCCAAACAGACCTACAGCCTGAGGGGTCCTGACTGTTAGAAGAAACTAACAAACAGGAAAGGGGACACTCACCACCCAAAAACGCCAATCCACTACCGTCACCATCAATCAAAAACCAGAGGCAGATAAAACCACAAAGATGGGGATAATAAGCAGGGCAGCAAAAAGCTGAAATTCAAAAAAAATTTAGAGAGCCATCCCCCCTCCAAAAGGAACGCAGGCTCATCGCCAGCCAACGGATCAAGCTGGGATGGAGAATGACTTTGACGAGATGAGAGAAGGGCGGCCTCATCCATCAAAACCATCTCCAGGCTAAAGAGGAATACGTACCCAGCAAAAAGAAACTAAAAATCTGAAAAATGAGGTGGAAGATGATAACAGAAAAATTAACCCCAGAGAAAGGCCATAAACGAACGGTACAGAAGATGAAAACCATGACACAAAGAAATACCATGACAATGCACAAGCTTCCAGTACCGACTCGATCCACCTGGAGTTCATCAAGCGAACTGAGGAATCCAAACTGAATAAATGAACCGAGAAGAAGAAAATCTACAACGAAAATAACAAAAACGCACAATGAACAAACCTGGCAAGAAGTATGGGATTATGTTAAAAAGACCAAATCTACCGTCTGATTGGGCGTGCCTGAAAGTGAGGGGATAAATGGACAAGTGTGAAAACCACCTCAGGGATATCATTAGGAAACTTCCCCAACCTAGTAGGCAGGCCAACATTCAACACTCTCCAGGAAACACAGAGAACCGCGAACAAGATACTCCTCGAGAAAAGGCAACCTCCCAAACACATATGGCCAGATTCACCCAAGTTGAAATGAGGGAAAAATCTTAAGGGACCAAGCCAGAGAGAAAAGGGTCGGGTTACCCACCAAGGGTAAGCCCCATCAGACTAACATGCCAAGATCTCTCACAAGAAAACTCTACAAGCCAGAAAAGAGAGTGGTGGGCCAATATTCACATTCGTAAAGAAAAAGAATTTTCCAACCCACCGAAATTTCAACCAGCCAAACCTAAGTTTCATAAAGGAAGGAGAATTAAAATCCAGTTAAATCCCTTTACAGATAAGCAGAATGCCTCAGAAGATTTTTCGCTACCAGGGCCCTGTCTTACAAGAGACTGAAGGGGAAGCAACGAAATACTGGAAAGGAACAACTTGGTATCCCGCAGCCATTGCAAAACCTATGCCAAAAAAATGTAAAGACCTATCGAGGCTAAGCAACGGAAACTGCATCAACCTAACGAGCCCGAAATAACCAGTTTAGATATCATAATGGGCAGGAACAAGTTCAACACATAACCAAATTAACCTTAAAAAAAAAAAAAAATTAAACCAGCTCAAAGAGTTACTAGTGGTTTCCTCTGAGGAAGGAGAAATGGGTAGGGTGGGGTGGTGGGTACTGAAAACTTACGGAACAAATTGACATGATCTCAAAACTGATTGTCATCAAAATGACTGGATTAGCAAAACATCAAGAAAATATGATTTCTGCTCAGCAGTTTTATAACTTAACACATCTGCCCCTATACCTCTGATTTTCTAGCTAGACCTCTCTGAAAGGATTACCTTGTGCCATTAAACGAGGTGATTTTCTTGGTGATCTCACTGAATTTTCTTCTACTTTGTCCCTTAAGTTCCTGTTAGGTAAAATCAGTTCTTCTTCATCAATGGTATCATTGCCACTTTCTTTAACAACTCCTTCATCCATAATATCGTCAAGACCAACAACTAGAAAAAAACAACAACAAAAGTTAATTTTTAAAAATATTGAGAATGTTAGGCAATTAAAGGCAGCACAGAAAATACTGTGAGACAGTCTCAACGTAACACTACATACTCCTGAAAATCTAGAGTGTGAAATTTTCTAACATGTGAAATTGCCACTACCAAACTCCCAAATCAAGTCAGTTTTATAAACTTCCACCTTGTAAAATAAGTAGTCAAAGACAGTATTAGCTATATTATACTCCTTCCTGATTTAGCCTCAAATATCACTTCCATTTATCACTTGCTGACCCCTTGTGAAAGACATAGGTGACTATACCTGGAGTACTCAAGTATCACAACTTTGGTTAAGGTAGTTCAAGAGTTCCATACCCTGAAAAGCTTGATTCTACGTTGATGCTAGAATCAAAAATTCTACTTCTAACTGGGATCCCAATACTCTACTAAAGACTTTATGCTACATGTATGAAAGCAAGCAATGCAGATGTACTTTTGACTGGTACCAAAAGAAAAAAAAAGGAAGAAAAAGAAACAGGAAAAAAATGAAAAACATAATGTAACTTCCCCTTCCCCCAAATGCTGGAGAAAACAGTAGATGTTTAATATAGCTATATAATTACATTACCTTTTCCTAGTCAAAAGAGAGACAGAGTCATGTACTTAATTTGTGGGGTGGAGAAAGAATGTAAAAAGACTCAGGAACAGTCAAAGAAATACTAACACCATACTCATATTGTCATTAGGTTTATTTCTGTATAGAACAAATGCCACTTAGCCAACATGTATCAGTAATTCTAAATGTGCAGTTGTATGAAATCTTGCCAAAAAAGAATGTGATTATTTAGACCAGAAGGTCTGGATTCAAATCCTTACTAGAACGTTAAAAAAAAAAACAAAAAGAAAAACACCTTGATCAAGTCACTTAACCTCTCTATCAGTTTCTTTATCTCTAAAACGAGAATAACAATACCTGTCCTACCTACCTCACAGGGCTGTTGTGAGGATCAAGTGAGATGATGTATGAGAACTCACTCTGTAAACTTTAGAGCACTATACAAATGTTAGTTATTATCTTCATCCTAGGGGTTAGAAGGAACCTCAAGGAGTTATCTAGTCCTCATCTTTGTGTCCAAGTAGAACTTCATTTAAAAGAGCTCAACAAGATAGTGGTCTATCCTAAAATTTAAAGAGAACAAAATTCTTCATAAGTTTACTTTTAAATGACACAATTTTTTTTGAAGAGCAATTTGACAACAAACAGAATCATGAAACTGCTCATATGCTTTGATCAAAATAAATTTAAAAAGAGAGGAAAGAATGGATTGTGAAGAAAAATGCTGATCAAAAAATACAGTGTGATCCTCGTTAGAAACAAACACACAAATAAAATGCCTGCGTATGTACATTTAGATAGAAAAAAAAAAAGAATGGTAGAAAACAGATGAAAATTTTACCAGTAATCATAGGCAGTAATTCTTATCCATAAACAGATAAGAATATATCTTTTTCCTATTTTCCAAATTTCCTGCTATAAGCATGTATTATAAAAGTAAAAATAGACCCCATGCTTTTAACCATTATGCTATGCACTAAAAGTTTGGAGAATATGCTTTAGAAAAATTAATCAGGATTCATTTAAGATATAATCTGCGTAAAAACAGGTAGGAAGTCCAGTTAGGTATTCCAACATGATGGAATATTTGTTGCCACACATTCACATACAACCTCAGGTTTTTGTTGTTTTTATTTTATTTTATTTTTAAGACGGAGTCTCACTCTTTTGCCCAAGTTGGAGTGCAGTGGTGTGATCTTAGCTCACTGCAGTTTCCACCTCCAGGTTCAAGTGACTCTCCTGCCTCAGCCTCCCAAGTAGCTGGGAATACAGGTGTGTGCCATCACGCCCAGCTAATTTTTGTATTTTTAGTAGAGACGGGGTTTTGCCATGTTGGCCAGGCTGGCCTCAAACTCCTAACCTCAGGTGATTCGCCTGCCTTGGCCTTCCAAAGTGCTAGGATTACAGGCATGAGCCACTGCACCCAGCCTCAAAAAAGTTTTGACATTAGATTACAGGTCTACTAAGTTCCTTTAAATACGCAAATTTTAAGACTACTTTTCATTAATTCTGTAGAAAAGCATACATATATATAGTATATACATTACAAAGATGTATAAGAAACATTAATAGGAAAACCGCAACAGACTGTTCAATCGTGATTATCTTTAGTTGTAAGGAATTTTGCCATCGCTGTTGTTTTTTAACCTTCACTATACTTTCTCTGAGATTTCCAAGTTTTCTATAATGAGTATGTATTCTACAATGTAAACAGGAGAAAAAAGAACCATCCAAAATAGAAAAACAGACCAGGAGGAAAGCCTGATTAATAGTGTTTGTTGACAAGGAGTGAAGTCATGTAATGAATTTTAGAGCTATATTACAAAGCAGAATCAACAGGATTTAGCAAGCCAAATCCAAAGGTCAATTATCAGGTTTTAAATTATTCCATTTCCTAGCAACATCTGACATAGCTGATTCCTCTCCACTTTCTGAATCTTCATTTTTTTCGCTTCACTTCTGGGATATCACATCCTCCCATTTCCCTAGCCACTTGTCAACAGCCTTTGATAAAGCCTTTTCTTCCTGCCAACATCTACATATTGAAGGATCCAACAGTTCAGTCCCCCCATCTTTCTTCTTTATCTACACTCACACTCACGTATCCCTTTCACACTCACTTATCCCTAAGGTGATCTTATCCCGGCCCATCTATACTCTGATTCCCACAGGTATCTTCTCCAACCCAAAACTCATGAGACCTTCAGAAGAGTGTAATCTGACATCTTCATTAAGTTGTCCAATAAATACCTCAAAGTTAACATACCAAAAATAAACACTGATTCTATCAATCCTCCCTCCCCCTCAAAAAACTGTTCCTCCCAAGGTATTCAGAGTAAATGGAACCTCCAATCACCTAGTTCAATTCTAAAATTCAAGAACTGTCCTTAGCTCCTCTCCCCATATCTGACACATCCAAGCTATCAGCATATCCTGCTAGCTTTATCTTCAAAATGTATCACACATCTGACCAGCTAACACTCTACTCCCAAATCACCATCTCTCATCAAGACTGTAACAGCCTCCTAGTGTCCCAGGTTTCTCTACTGCCATCCCCTCTCCCCTGACAGTTTATTCTCCACAGTTATCACTGTGATCCTTCTAAAATATTAAGTCAGATCACGTTAATATTCTTCTGTTCAAAATCCTCTAAAACCTTCCCAACACATTTAGACATAAAGCCCAAAATCCTAGCCAGGGCCCATAGGGTCTAACAGGATCTTCTCCTGCCAACTTCTTTGACTTCATCTCCTCCCCCTGCTGATTCACTCTCCTCCAGTCACAATGGCTTTTCCTGAACATAGAGAAGCATAAGCCCATCTCCGGGTTTTTGCACTTGCTATACCCTCTACATGAAGGCTCTTCTCCCAACACCCATAACTCATTATTTCCCTTCACTCAGATTTTACTTAGATACCATCTTCTCAGAGAAACCTTCCCTAACCACCTTATGCAAAACAGTACATATTTCCATTACTGCCTACGGATCCTTAGCTACTTTATCCTTTAAAATGTTTCTCTATATGACATTAAGTATCTGTCTGACAGTCTTCTCCACCAGAGCATAAGCTGCACAGGTAAAGACCTTTGTCTCTTACTTGTGGCTGAATCCCCAGAATCTAGAATCACAACCTTGTATATAGTAGGTATTCCAGAAAATATTTGCTGAATAAAAGTATTACGGGGAAAGACAGATTGGGAGAACTTAAACCTTGATAAGTGAGAAAAAAATGTTTCTATTGAACAAACAGAGAATTTGGAAAGAACAAATTTGGAAGTAACATACTGACTTCACTTTTTTGATATATTGATGATAAGAAGGAAAAAGATCAGACCAAAGATGCGTGAAGATAAAGCAACATCACAAAAATTTCATAGTAGTGGGAATCAGGAAGGCTAACTGCAACCCAAAGAACAAATAAAGCAGAGAAATCCACTAGTTTGACACACAAAGCAGAGAATCAGATGAGTAGGAGTTAAGGAGTAAGTAAATGAAGAATGACAATAATTGTAGTCGCTTTGAAGTTTAATGGAGAAAAGTGGAGAGAAGGAAACGGACAGAAGAGGGAAAAATCAACAGAGATCTGACAATGTTTATATGTGCCGGAAAATAACTTGGAAGGTAAGTGATGACTTGAGGTTCTATCCCTGAACAACATCTTGGTCGACAACCTACAATTAGAATAACTAAGACTGCATTTAGGATGTTTCTCAAGGAAAGATTTCCAAGCATGCATCTTTTTTTGAACTCCTGCTCCTCCTGACAACACACTTCCTTCAACTCAAAAATCCATTTCTACATTAAATCAAGCTCTACATTGCCTTCAGAGTTTCCAGAGTTCTCATGCTGAACAAGAGCCCCAACAACAGAAGCACCTCCAGTATGTTTTCTCTTCCCTTGTATATTCCAGAACTAGGTACTAGGTGCCATTCTCATTTTTATCCCCAAGTCTGAAACTTAATGCCAACTTTATAACAGAGGAAATAACTGACCTAGAAGTAGTTAAGCTGAGTTTGACCTTTGCGCTGCCAGCATAATTATCACATAACAAATGTAAAAATTCCCTACTAGTCCTGCCTTGTAATTCTCCCTTTTGTGTGGTATTAAAGTGATTTAAACCAATCCCTATTGTTGAGAAATGGAATAAATTTAACCCCAAATGGTTTTAAAATTTTGACATAAAGTCCATGATCATACTCAGAAATCTCTTCGAGCCTGATTTTACATCACATTAAAATTCCTCCCATCTCAACCCCAAATTGTCCTAATTAAACTTGCTTAAGTGAAGTCCTCCTGACATTGCTACTATTTTAACTCCAGACTATTTAAATTAAACCTATCTTTTTGGAAAGGGAGCAAATGAGATAAAGAGAATAAAATCAAATCATT